TGGGTTAGTCATTTTTAAAGCCTTTTTCAGCTCTAGAGTCTATGTATCTGGCTGTCGTGCAGTTCCTACCCAGGTGAGTTTGAACAATAGTACTATTTTATCTGTCCTATATTTGTTCCAGGGAATTCTTGATTTTAAATAAAAGATTTTTAAAAGGTAAAATTCCAAGCTCCTGTAGAAAGAGTATTCTCCAGAGCAGTGGTTCTCAACCTTCCTAATGCCACGATGTATTTTCATTGTTCCAAAGGGGTCTCGACCCACAGGTTGAGAACCGCTGCTCTAGAGTCCACCAGAGAGGGATCTGATCTGCTAAGAAACAGAAAGGAAGAAACACAGCTCAGAGCAGACTTAGCGTGTATTCCTAACAACCACAACGCAAACAAGCAGCAATCTTATAGTTAACTAGACGTCACATTTACAGTCACTTAAAGCCTACCTTCATTTTCACATTAATTTCTGCTTAAGCAGTCTTGGACTTCACAATGCTTCTGCTAAATAACAAGATTTGTTCACAATTGTAAAATTATTGTTCCCTAGTTGATCCTGCTAGCTGGGATAGAAATAAGTGATAGTAGCAATTTCACCTCTAGTTCTCAAATAAAGAATCCTACAGACCTAAAATTCCAAATCGTTACTTATTTTTGGTCCTAATACTATTAAATCAGTATTCCTGAAATTAACCAGGGAATATATCAGGAAATCGAATTCTCCTTCAGGGATACTTCAAATTTTTCTCATTTTTTTACTAGCATCGGGACCTTTATTTTCTTTCTCTGCAGCCAGTCATCAAAATACCAGGGAACTTAATGTGGGTCCCCCTACCTCAATTCCTACTCCCAAAATAATTTTCCAGATGAATCAATGATTTAAGCATGGAAATTAATTAAATTCACTGTAAGAAAACAATGAAGAATATTTTCATAATTTGAAAGAAATCCCCTTTCCAAACATGATAGAAAACCAAAAATAAAAATATTCATAAACGTGACTATAAAAATTTACATATTCTACATAGCAAAAAATTTATTCAAACTCAAAATGCAAATTATCTACTAGGAGAAAATATCTATAGTACAAAGGACAGGCAAAAAGCCACAAGTCTTTTAAATATAAACAGCTACTGCAAATCAAGCAGAAAAAAATGAGCTCAATACAAAAATGAGTAAAGGCTATAAACTGGAAGTTCACATTTGAAAAATGCTAGCGGTCAATAAACAGATGGAGATATATTCAGTCCCAATGCAGTAGCCATTTTTCACGTATGAGAATATCAAAAATAGAATGTTAATACCCATGCTTAATTAAAGAAGGAAACAAACCCTTACATACACAATGGGTGAGAGCACAAATTAAGGCAACTTTTTTAGCGCACAATTTAGCAGTGTCTATGAAAAGACATATTCTATGGTCCAGCAAGTCCATCAGTATAAATTCATTTTTATGTGCATATGTCGAATGTTATAGAAACATACGTATACAGAGGTGTTTATTACAGCGTTAAATAAAACAAAGAAACAAGTTCATCAGACATGCATCAGTGGGAGACCTAAATTAGACACTGACATCTATTCCTTAGAATACCATCCAACCATCCTAAGAAAAATGAAGTAGATTAACATGCATAATATAAAAAGATCTCCAAAACATACTACTCATTAGTGTAAAAAAAAAAAAAAAAAAACCTGTATATAGATACAAACAGCTATATACAAACACCCATACCAAAACATACAAACCCATACCTAAATTTACTAGAATGACATACAAGAATGGTTTGAGCAATTATTATCTCTAGTGTGCATGCATATATATGGCAATAGATGAGGACAGATCTTTTTAAATTTCTCCTTCTTCTCTTTTATAAAAAGGAAAAAGCTACACATAAGAGGAAAAAAAATCAAAACAAATTGCCCTGCCTAGGTGTGTATAAAATACTGATGAAATGTTCAGAATTCCCTCTTATAATTCCTGGAAAATAAAGAAGGCTGGAAGCTTTAGAGCTGGGTTCCTTCTACAGTTTCAGAATATTCAGCTTAGGACAAGTTAAGAAGAGCATGACAGGTGAGTGCAACTGATTTAAGTAAGTCAAGAAAAAGAAGATATCTCTTAAAATACATACATATAAAGATTGTGAAAAAATTAATTATTTCGGGTTGTATTTGGAGGCAAACAGAAAGGAATATTTAAGGAAGACATTTCACATGGCCCTGAGCGGGAAGCAGGCAGGTTATAATTTATAGAATCCTTGCTAGTTTGAAGTGTGGACCTTTCTACCAGATGAGTGGAATGCAAAAAAAAAAAAAAAATAGCAGTTGGGTAACTTAACTAAATTTGAAGTAATGATGTAAAGGTGATAGCCCTTTAAACATTAATTTTAGCATATATTTATTGCTTTGGATAAATACATTTTGAAAATATTTCCTACATCTTAATGATCACAAATTCTCCACAATAATCCATGAAAATGCCCCTCTCCAGTCTCCTGCACATCTAACACAAGATCTCACAAGATCCTGAGGAGAAAATTAATCATCCTTGGATGCCAAATTACTCCAGACCAATTTCACATGCTTAGAACACAGCAGCTCCTTGCAAAGTAGACAATCGATTTGGGATCTAGGATTTCTTTAAGGCTCAGTAACAACAACTAGTCTTCCAGAACTGTAAATCTGACAACTCTGACTTCACAATGAAATCACCCACCAGAGCTGCTCTATAAACCAATTTACGGCTGCCTAAATTAACAAGAGAAAGCCACAGAAGTGTCTTTCCAGAACCAGCTCCCACAGGGTCTGCATGCCTCCGTGTTCTACCTACAACAAAATCCTATTGCTTTTCTCCTGGCTTAAAATGTAAATGCAACAGGACAAGCAGGAATTCCATTACAGTGGAAAACTTTTAAAATGACACAAAAAACATCTTCTCCAATGAAATAGATAATTGGTCTGAAAGGTAATGCCCCAGGTCACTCTAATGCCCCCTTCCTCTCCTGTGGTTACTTACCTTAGAATTCATTTCCATGTGATATTTGGCACATGCTCGAAGCTGAGTCACCCAAAACTGTTTCTCTCTTGCATCAGCAGCTAAAATAGGGAAAACAAAGAAAGAAACGTTCGCAGGGATTGTTCCAAAACACATCCAACTTACTTCTACACCCACCTAATGGGGTGGGAGGCTGGAGAGAGAGAAAGCAGATGTAGACCTCCACGTTCGCAGGCGGCCTGTTCTTACACCAAAAAACAAATCATGCTGAACCTCCACAGAAAATTCCCTCAAGCGGCATTAGAAAGGCATTCTGAAATATCTGGTATAAGAATAATTTTGCTATTTGTTTTAAACTCCTCTGAGAAAGTCAATTCTATAATACTTCTTTAAAAAGGCAGCAGGAAAGAAAACACAGGTTTATTTTCAAATGCCTCTGCCTTGTGTGGCTAACATATATCAAAGTACAATTTTCCAGGGCTTTTGCTGGCTACCAGAGTTGTACTGTGGAGTTATTAGCATTTACAAAATTAGCGTTCAGTTGAATTACCATTTTAATATGTGTTCTCCAAGATTCATATTACGATTGGACAGAACAAGATGCCAAACGCTGCCTTAGACAGCCTGAAATTTCCCCAAGGAGACATTCTAGTGCAAGTCAACTGCACAGTCATAGTCTTTCATCTACACCCCACCTCGTAAATAATATATGTGAAATTATTCGTAAATATCACGGGAGCATACCAGGTTCTAATAAAATCTAAATCATCCCTTTAGCTGCATAATTAACTGCAAAAAATACTGTAGTATTAATTACATAAATGTTGACTCTCCAGAAAACAGAATGCTTTCCCTGGAAATCATAATTGTTTACAGAAATGGCCCTCAAAATTCTCTGTCAATAAAGCCTGACTTCAGTTTGAACTTTTGAAGAAATCTAAATGAACAAAATGGGAAATCCCTTGGTTTAGTACCATTTAAGGCCTGGAGATGACCTTTCCAAATCTGAAATAATTTGTCTGCCAAGAAGCCTGTTGTACAAATATGATAAAACGCAGTGTAAGACCACATGAAATTAACTTCCAAAGACAAAGGCTCTAACAGGAGTTAGTCCTTTTCCTTAGGAAACTGGAAGAATTGCCAACTTTTGGCAGAACTAGCCAAAGGCATAGCATTATAAACATTCCCAAAGGCTGTGCATCTCGTGACATCACCATCCAACTCTGAGCCTGGGAGATGGGAATGGAGAAAATCGAGGCCAGCAGCTTGCGAGACAGGCCAGAGACAAGCCATAAACCTGCAGAATTTTATCCTGCCTTTTTTGTAGTTGATAAGCTTTAGCAAATTTAGCTCTTATGATTATTTCATGCAGATAATAAAAGTTTTCTATCTGCTATTCAAACTACCCTTACAAAGAATGTAGGGTTTAATAATCCAGAGAATATTAACAGTTCAATGGCAAAACAAGATGGCTCAACTGTCAAATTAGTTGTTTTTTTCTTTTGGTATGGGTTTGTGTCATGTTATAAACCACAGGGGGTGGGGAGGATGCCATTAAGTTTTTCACCTGCTATTGTTTCTGTTCTGACAATTTATTAAGCAATAAACCGCAAAGCGAAACCAAGGACCATATAAATCTAGCCAGCTAGAACACACACTGCATGAATCTCAAAAGCAAACATGCATCTTACCACACCTCCGAAAAACTTTCTTCTTCAGCGATAGGCATTTTTATTTCATTGTTTTATAGATTCCGAAATATGATTTGTAAATAGACAATAAAGAAATATTAGCTTACTCCATCTCTTGGATAGTAAAGCTTGGCAGTAGAATAGTGAAAATTGGACTGAGAGATAAGCCCTCAGTCTGGCTTTGCAGAGGCAACCTACCATGATCAAGAGTGAGAAGAAGAAGCCTTTTCTTGCTACTTAGGTCTTACTCAGATAAAGTAAAATGTTACAGATAACAAGGTAGAATTATCAACCGTCCCTTAATACTTGATACCTACTACCTTTCCTTAGGCCCTAATAAATAATGATTTACTCTGTGTGTGTGTGCGCATGCACGTGTACATTTGTATGTGGGCATTTGGATTTTTGTTCATCGTTTTGTTATTTTATTACAGGAAAACTGGCAGAAGAATCACAGCAATGCAACTATAACAAAATCCTGGTAGAATGATCTAGCAATCAAATTACACTGTAATTTTATTACAAGTCTGACATTTCCGTGCGGTGCATCATGTGCCTTGAGGGTGAATGTTGGACTCCCTCGACATGACCCTCGTTTCTGAGGTGCTGGGCAGACATCTGAACAGACATCAGTTTTCAGGAAGCAAAGACCAGGGAGGAAAGCACAGAGAGGGAAATTAACGCCCCTTGGCTTCTCAACAGGCACAGGGGTGTTCACCCTTTTTTTTTTCCTCTGCCACACATTGGAAGAGTAAGGGTTGTCTTGGGCCGTACGTTAAATACACAACCACTAATGAAAGCTGATCAGCAAAATAAGGTCTGTACATGCTTTTCATGATATCCAACACCACAGATAAGCAAAAGAAGTCCTCACAAAATCAGCATGTGGCCTGCGGGCTGCTGCAGGTTGGACACTCCTGCACCTCATTGGATGGATAAAACTCAAATAAAGGGGCTGTTTACTAAGAAAGGCTTTTCAAGAAACTTTGAGAGGAAGTGATTAGGACGCTTATCAGGCTTGCTTTTAGCACAGCCCCACAGTGCAGTGTAGTAAAGACTCATACTATAAGGTCCAAGAAAATACATCCTGAGCTAATATTTGAAATCTTCAAAGCCTTCATCACTCACCTTCCCTTTGTCCTTAAGGCTGCAGTTAAGTAAGACAAGCCATTCCTACTGTCAGCTCTACTTCCCATCCCAGGGTTAAGAGGGGCTGTGCCTGTCACCACAGTGTCTGTCACCAGAGTCCTCCAAACACAGCAAATTATTAAAGGTGATTGAAAAAAAATCAGAAAACAAGAGTGCCATCACCATGGCAACTATAAATGGAACCCATGAAGCCTGTCTGAAAAGTTTCCAGGAGAAGAACCTACCTCTCAGCTTATACATCTCTCCGTTAGCAGAGTACACGACCAGCATGTGGGGAGCTTCGTCACTCAGGGACACTATGGCTCCAGATAAAGACAGGGCTCCTCGAGGCTTCTGGTGTTTGCTTTGCTCATTCACAAAATACTGCAGGATGCCAGCCTCAAAATCCAGCACAAAGTACCTGCACAGAGAAACCACAGTACATCATTTTTCTCCCCCGGCCTATTCCACACAGCAAAGCAGAAAAGCAAAGCCATCCTGAAGTCCACACCTGGGCTCCAAATCCAAGAAGCTGAAACCCCAAAGTCCCTCCCAAACGCCCCACAGAAATAAATCAGCCTGAGTAGGGAGAGAGCAGGGGATTCTCACATCACAACGGAGCTCACAATGGACCTCTGTGGGCAGGACCAGGCCCACTCAGGGTATGGTACAATGCCTACCACTAGGCCAGGTGCCCACAGATACCACATTAAACATCAGGACGGCAGAGACCATGGAAGTGCTGCAGTACGCAGCTCATAACACACTCCACAGGACTTCTTGGGGACAGCTGGAATTCACCAGGCCTTTAAGGCAAGTAGATTTATGCCCCGACAGCAGCAGCACCTGGGCCTCCAGCTTCCTGCCAGCTGCATACCATGAGGAGCTTGACATCGGCCAAGGACCATGAGGAGCCTCTGTCCCCCTGGACATTCCAGCAGGCCCTTTCATGTATTCTTTTTTACACAAAGAGGCAAAAATGTCCTCTGCTCTGGGTAGTTGAAAAGCCACTGCACTCTACATCCAGGGTAAAAAAAGAACTACAGTTTGCCCAAATCATACAACAAATCGTTATAGCCAAATATCTGGCCTGTCTATTGTCTGAAGTTATCACCCAGGAGGTAGCCAAGATAATATCCCTTTCTCCACCACAATGGAAATGTCTTCATCTGAGATTCAAATTCTTCCAGCACAGCCCACACTGACTTTTCTACCTTCTCACTTTTTGCTCTGACCTACACACTTCCTCCACATTCCCAACTTGCCTCCTACCACAGGACCTTTACACATGCTGTTCCTGTTGTCTGGAGCAGTTACTCAAAGTGTGGTCCACAAGTATGGATGGTCCACAAACTGTTAACCGTCCACGATAGACTTTAGAAACTTTTTCTGCCATTTGGCTTTGTTTCAACATCCACCTGCATGATCAGCTGGACGTGTCTCGTTAAATAGTTTGGATGCTGTTCAACATGTACGATACACGAACACTACATCCTAGTAATGAATCAATCACAATCCAATTGGGACAAGAGGAAGGAAGCAGGTTCTTCACCACAGATGGTTTGAGAAATACTTGCCTGAAATGTTATTTCTCTTTCCTACTATATGGTTCCCTCCCCTCTTCTTGCCATGTTAACTTCTCCTAACCGGGTCAAATATTCTTCCTTGTAGTACCTTGAAATCCTCCTTCATGGCACTGGCCCCAGTGGAAGTCTACATTTGTGCAATTACCTGATTCAGTGTCCTAGACTCTATGCTCTGAGGAGATAGAACATGTTTCCCCAAGTGCCCAGAATGGTGTCTGACACTTCATTGCTACTCAGTTAACATATGTGAAAAAAAAAGAAAAAAACCTACTGAATCCCATAGTTCCCCATCTGCACACCAAGGTGCCTGGGTCATACGGTGAACTCAGAGGCACTGCAAAGTATTACATCTCTGAAGGATGGATACATGGCAAGACTCAACACAGGTCAGATACCTGATGAACAGAACTCAGCTACCATATAGAGCAGAACTCAACCTGCTCTACTAACTCAGGTAGTTTTCAGTTTCAGTGTTTGATTGCACCACATTCCTCTCGATGACATATTTTTGCAAAGTGTTTCAGCAATTGCTATGATAAGAACACAAAAGTCAGTACAGATTAGGAAAAGAGGGCGGTGACGGTAGCTCAGTCAGTAGGGTACTGGCCACATACACTGAGGCTGGTGGGTTCGAACTTGGCCTGGGCCAGCTAAAGCAACAATGACAACTGCAACAACAACAAAAAAATATAGCCAGGCATCGTGGCAAATGCCTGTAGTCCCAGCTACTTGGGAGTCTGAGGCAAGAGAATCACTTAAGCCCAAGAGTTGAAGGTTGCTGTGAGCTGTGACACCACAGTATTCTACTGAGGGCGACTTAACTGACACTCTGTCTCCATCTAAAAAAAAAAAAAAGAACCAGAAAAGAACAATGACCAGTAAGATGTCATGGTCTGAGAAGCTGTGTAGTGCCCACAGGTTCACACATCGCATTTATAAGTAATTTTGGTTAGTTCAGAAACAAAAATATTTTTCTTTCTATTGCTATTTATTATTTTTTGTATTTTTTTCAATAGCTACTGAGTTAAGACATTAATATGAATGAGGTGATTTGTAGCTAACCATTTCATAAATTAAACAGTTAGATCTAATTTAAAACCACCCCAATCAGGAAACTTTACAAACATCTGACCTAATTCAGTCTCACAGCAACCCAACAGATATTATCCCTATTTCACAGATGTCCTGAAACTAGAAGAAACTTTTTTTTTTGAGACAGAGTTTCACTATGTCGCCCTCAGTAGAGTGCAGTGGTGTCACAGCTCACAGCAACCTCAAACTCTTGGGCTTAAGTGATTCTCTTGCTTCAGCCTCCCAAGTAGCTGGGACTACAGGCGCCCACCACAAAGCCCGACTATACAAGAAACTTGAAACCTAAGCCCAGCTCATTGGTGCCCAAGGTCCATGCTTGATCCACTCCAGCAAGCACAAACTCTCCCTGGATGCCCCCTCACGTCCTCCCTTGTCACTTTTCCTTGTCTCCTCTCCAGGACCTACTTCCGTATTTTATTCTCCAAACCTTCCTGGGAGCTAAGAGCTGAAAGCTTCTGCCTGGCAACAGAAGTCCCTATTCAACCCCTTCCCCTGGAGCGAAGTGCAGCCTTCTCACTAGCACACAACTGCCCAGGACAAGCCTCTAAGGCAGCAGTTCTCAACCTGTGGGTCGCGACCCCTTTGGGGGTCACCTAAGACTATCCTGCATATCTGATATTTACATTACGATTCATAACAGTAGCAAAATTACAGTTATGAAGTAGCAACGAAAATAATTTTATGGTTGGGGGTCACCACAACATGAGAAACTGTCTTAAAGGGTCACGGCATTAGGAAAGTTGAGAACCACTGCTCTAAGGAATCTTCCACTTTAAACTATTTGGAATATTCCAGACGGCCTGGCCAAGGCTATCAGTTTCACTCCTATCCTTCCCTTCTATTGTTCAAACCACTATAATAATATAATAAGAAGAATACTTTTGGTTTTCATGATTAGCATAAATCAAGACACAAAAATGTCATAACCAGGGTTATTCAGGGTGTAATCCTGAGCCCAGCAGTATCATCATCACCTGGGAGCTTGCTCAGCTCATCCGAGACATGCTGAGTCAGAAACTCTGGGGGCGGGGCCCAGGAAGGTGTATTTTAAGCTTCCAAGCAATTCTAAAGCCAGGCAAGTTGGAGAAGCACTAGTCTAAACACGAGGTTCCCAACCCATGGAGCCACAGACCAACACTGGTCCATGGCCTATTAGGAACCAGGCCACACAGCAGGAGGGGAGCAGTGGGCAAGTGAGCGAGCAGGAAGCTTCATCTGTACTTACAGCTGCTTCCTGTCACCAGCATCACTGTCTGAGCTCCACCTCCTGTCAGGTCAGCAGCGGCAGTAAGATTCTCATAGGAGCATGAACCGTACTGTAAACTGCACAAGCAAGGGATCCCGGCTGTGCGCTCCTCATGAGAAGTTAACGCCTGATGATGGACATAAGCAACACACTTCGGATGCCACTGGTCCCATCACCCCCAAACGGGGCCATCTCATAAACTGTGCATGCGACGGACCTCAGGGCGTCCATCCCCTGATTCTGCATTATGGTAAGCTGTATGTACAACAGCCCATAAAACTCACTCTCACCCCTTCTTTCCCACACACACACTAGAATGGAGACAACCTGCAGGGCAACGTTGAAACCCTAGGGTGGGTATGGCCAAGACACAAAAGGGAGGGAGCCCGGGTCCCTGAATCACCACCTGGAAGAGAATATCCTGCTGAGGAACACACATCAGACTGCCCCGTGAAGGAGAAAAAAACTTTAATTAGGCCACTAAGATCTGTTAGAGCAACTATCCTTACACAAGCAAATATACATAAAGACATGTTTATTTTTATTTTTATCTGATTCTGCTTAAAATTTGCTCCTACTGTTTAATGTGGGGCAAAACCCAAATTCTTTTAACAAGAGAAGACCCAGGGTAATTTCTGAGCTGCCATTGCACAAATTATTTAAGTGCTGGCTCTGCCTTCTCTTTAGGAGCGAATATTTTCAACTTGACCTATATTTAATGTTATTGTGACTGTGGTTGTACAAACACTGCTTGGGGGAAGTCCAAGCATTAACAGTAACCCTTACGAGAGCAGGGAAGGAGACTAGGCTCGTGCTACAGCACCTTGGGTCCCCCCACACCCCCACAGCAAATCACTCTTACACAGGGGGAAAGTAGAAAAAGAAGGGGATACACATTCAGGGACAAGGAGACACAACTTGGCCTTGGCTTCCCATCTTTCTCCTTCCACACTGTGCCATTGACTGAACGGGGAAAAGGCCTGATCTCTTTCTCCTCTTGCTCCTACCAACATGCCCGCTGGCAACCTGTCAGCTTTCCCCTCTCCTGAGACAGCTTCCCAAATGTGCATCCTGTTCCGACAAATAACTGTACGTTTGCAAAGGACATTATTCAGAAGCTGGTACAAAGAAATGAATTGAACACTGTTTATTTGTTCAGTAAGGATGACAGAATAACCAACTGATGTCACATTATGCAGGATATGGGGACACATTAATGATTTTTCACATTCCCTATTTCAAGCTGACACCTTAATACTAACCTCCTGCCTCAGGTGGAAGAACAGAACACATATATTTCCACTGCTTCCGAAAATAGTTTAAATGCAAATGCCCAGGTTTGAATCATGTGGACTAAGGAGGGTTATCAATAATTTACTCCTCCTTTAAAGACAGTTAAAAATTTTACCCTATTTTGAGGGAAGCAAAGGGATGCTATGTGATTAAATATTACAACAGACGAAACCAAGTATTCTTTCAGAATGGACTTTGAAAGTT